CAGGAGGATCACTGAGTTCGAGACCAACCTGGGCTACATAGTAAGTTCTAGGTGAGTTTTAACTATGTAGTGAGACCCTGTCTCAACCCCCCCCCCAAAAAAATAATCTCTATTAGGGCTGGGGATTTAGCTCAGTGGTTCTGCTGCCTGCCTTACAAGCTCAAGGACCCAAGATCGATCCCTGGTACCAAAACAAAACAAAACAAAACAAAACCCCAAAAAACAAAAAAACTAAATAAACAACAACAACAACAAAAAGCTAAAACTTTTGCAAAATGATGTCAGGGATGCTACAGGTTTCAGAGCTGTCCATGAGGAAGTGGCAGGGAGTTGTTCTTAAAGGCGACCGTGGTGACTGGTAGCTACTTCCCAGGGGGTGGCCCACACAGCCTCCCCTCCAGAGATACTTCAGCAATTCCGGGTCATGCCTCACTAGTGGGTCATGAAATCAATTTAATGGTCATGGCCAGAAATTTTTATAAAAAGAGGAAGCAAGTGAGACTAAAGCACAACAGCACAGATAATGCCATACTGCATGGCATGGGGGTCACATGCTGTGCCTTGTGCATGGGTGCGGCCCTGTGCCGGGTAGAGATGTGTCTGGTACAGCGTTCCAATGGTAAATGCATTTCTCACTGCAGTAGAGACTAAGACATTTCAATGCCACTGTCCTGGAGCTGCCTCAGTGCTGGCTTCAAAGGACTTGCTCTGCTTTTTGGATAAAGTAAATTTACAAATAAAAGGACAAGACATTATTCCAAGGTGAATATTCACCTCAATTTTCTTGCTTAAAGCACTCTGTATTACCCTGGATTTTTTTCTTCTCTGAAATAAAATGCTTAAACTGCATCCTTCATGTTCAGTCTGAGCCCAGAGCAAACAGTGGAGTGGGGACAAGATTTTCTCCCCCTTGGCAACATCGTCACCCTGTATAGCACCTCAGCATATTTTTAAACCTTTCCTCTGTCAACATACATATATTTCCTCTGAAAGACTGATAGGTTGCACTTCCAAAAAACAGTACACAGATTTAATATGCCTATTACTAAAGACATTGATATTTTAGCCAAATATTTGACCTCACACCATATCAAAGAATCTCACTGTAGAATTTAGTTGCAGGGGGAGGAAAATTGCAGAGAAAAAGACTATTTCCCCAGCACTCCCACCCTGACTAGCTATGTTCACTCTGTAACATTTCCTTTTTTGCATCTAAATAATATGCGTCATTTATTTCCTAATAGATTTGTTAAAGATATCTCTATTCTCTTTAGCTGATGTTATTAAAAAAGATTAATGAGCCGAGCATGGTGGTGCATGCACGCCTGGAACCCCAGCAGTTGGGAGGCTGAGGCAGGAGGATCACTGCTGGTTCAAGACCAGCCTGGGCTACACAGTGAGTTCCAGAGCAGTCTGAACTACATACAGTGAGACCCTGTCTCAAAAAACAAAAAACAAAACACAACAAAAAAATTAATGAAGCTATCCTATCACAAACTCTAAGAGAAAATATCCTTTCCAGCTTTCCACTTTTTGTACCCCAGTACTGGGATTGAACCCAGGGCCTTCCTCATACTAGGCAAAATTACCACTGAGCTATATTGTCAGCCTGTTGTTTTATTTGGGGGCAAGGTCTCACCAGGATGCCCAAGCTGGCCAGAAAACCTGCGATCCTCCTGCCACCACCTCCCAAGTGGCTTGGATTACAGGCGTGAGACCCCAACAGAAGGCAAGTTGGCTCTCACCTGATTCCCACTTCACCTCACTGCCTGGCAGACTTAAGTCCTTACTCTGTACCGGTTAATGACTGCTGAAGACGGTGCCATTGTACCATCCTGTAACACTCGGTCATATTGCCTTCCAGCGGCACACTCCTGACTACACCTGCATGCTTTTTTCTCTGAAAATCAGATAAGTAAAGTGCTGCCCTTTTCATAAAATAACAATTCTAATAACAGTTTAAAGAAAGTGCTCCTTATGGCTGGGGTGTAGCTGAGGGGCAGAGTGCTTGCTTAGTATCACAGGTACTGGGTTCGATCTCCAGCCCTAGATAAAGAGGAAAACAGAGGCAGCAAGTGCCACTTTATTCAGAGTGTAGCACACACACTCTGGTGTTAGGTGCTTTACCTACAAACTCTCATTTTCTTTTTTCTCTGTTGAGTTTTGCACATGGGAAGGAGAACAAGAGATGGAGGATATAAGAAAAATGAAAATGCGTTTATGTAATGTACCAACTGCTCACCATGAATGCAGTCATGTACTACAAAAAAATAAAATAAAATGTAAAATTGAAAAAATCCCCACCTCCACTAAAAGGACAATTATTCCTCCACACTCTTCCTGGGTGCCTCAGACACACTTTCATGGATGAGAACGAAGGCGCAGTAATTCAGGGGTAGATCTAATTCAATCCAGAGTTCATCCAACTCTGACTGTTTCCTCCTCACTTTCACGTCCCCTAACTTTTCAGGGGCATCTAAAATTATCATTTTCTTTTCCCAATACCCGTTCTGCTAAGGACAAGGTGCTGAACGTAAGGTTACCAGGAGAGCTGCTTCTGTTGTTGCTGTTTGCGGTTTCTGGGTGACACAGGCTCTGAGCCCGTGCAGTGGTTACGGGCACAGAATGGCTCTGTCCCGAGACTCCAATCTGACGTGCGAGCGGCTCGTCCCCCACCTTGTCTGGCGGTGTCTGCACCCCCAGCGATCCCTCAAGGAAATAATAAAGGCCACGGGAATAAAAAGCGGGGATGGCAGCAGTCTTATCAGCATGCAATGGTATTTCAAACTTTTTTTGGTACCGGGGATCAAACTCCGGTCCTTGCGCTTGCGAGGCAGGCGGTGGAACCACTGAGCTATATCCCAGGCCTCATAACTTCTTTAAACCCATTCACATGACTTTTTACAAACGTGTTTTAAGACTTTAAGGAAAAGCATGATTCCCCACTTGCGGATAGCTCCCACATCCCTTAGTCCTTCTGTCTCTTGCACAGAGCATTTTAAACAATAATCCTTTAAATTAAAAATCTGCTTTGCAGATTTTCCATTTCTCAGAGATTTAAAGATCTCCAAAACGATCTCTAGAAGCCACCGAGATTTACCAGCCACATCTCTCACGACAGCAAAATGAAACTGATTTTATAGCAGAATATAGTTAAAAGTCCAATCTACACCACACTTTCAAATCAGAGATGAGCCAGGCAAAGGGGTGCAGTCCTGTAAATCTCAGCACTGAGGCTGAGGCAGGAAGATTGCTGAGGCAGAAGACCAGCCAGGGTTACGTACTGAATTCAAGGACAGCCTGACCGACACGGAGAGACCCCGTCCAGTCTCAATCCCCCCTATCTAAAAAAAAAGAGCTCAAATTAAGTCGGAGGTGAAGCCACTCACTGCCAAGTGTGGCTTGGTAGCCAGCCACTCAGATTCCAAACTTCTAAATAACTTTCCGTATTAATTCAGTCTAGCGTTTCAAGAAATAAAATAATTATGTAGTTAAACATAGATCCTTATACAAACAAGTACTGTGTTTGCAATGTACCAATCCATTAAAATAAACAGCAGCCATCCATCAGGAGAGCTAAAGCCTACGCTGACTAGACTAACACCATTCTGCATTCCCCATCCAATGACAGTAAACATTCTATTGGAATCTGCTCCAGAAACAACGGCTTTCCCCACTTAATGTCAAAGTAAACAGATAGTAAATACCTACTCCATACTACTAACCAGTGGTATTTGCATTCTTTAGGGTGTAAGCTCACCAAATCATTGGCATTTTTTTTTCCTTTGAAAATACATTCAAGATGATGCCATTTAATATAGCTCGTCGCTTTTACTTTTAAAAATACTTCTGCCAGGTACTGTTTGAGGTTAAATTTGTTTTGGCTGGGAACCTTCTAAGTTCAAGGAAATATATACATTCTGCTAGATAGGGAAAAAAACCCTGCATCCTGTAGATTTTGTGTTAAATGCCATCCCTCGAATTAAGAGCTACACATAATAAAAGCCATGAAGTTAAGCCACAATAGTCCTGAGTGAAGCAATGCTCAGGGAACACCTCTACTCTGCAAATCATACAAAAGAGAAAAGGAAAACCTCTTTTCAGCACCGGAACCGCGTTAGACCACTGTGAGTGGTGACAGCTGGGAGCCTACCTTCAGTTCTCGGAAGAAGATGCTACTCCTGGCCCACTCAACAATGGAGAAGAGGGTTTGGTCTGCCATTTTGCACATAAGCCCAAACGTGCTCAGCTTTTCATGCTTGCTTCGGTTCGCCTGCTCTTGCTGCAAATAGGCCATGATTTTGGCTTGAACTTGCGGCTCGTCTGGCTCACACTTTAAAAGTTCCAGTATCAGATGTGGGATGCTCGCTGGAGAGCTGGTCTGGTAACCATCCATGTAAGAATAGCCCATGATGGACTCGGGAGAGCTGGTGTAGGGGTCTGGGTACTCAGACTTGATGGCCCTGCTAGGAAAATGGCCATACGTTTGGTAACCTTGCAGGCTGCCGTGAGGTGGCATTGTCATGCTAATGGGGGACGTGACGAAGGGACTTCGGTCGTAGTCTGTGGGAGGCAAGGCAGCATGGTTCAGAGGTAGGCCCTTGGAGGCAGAGTGGATGTTCTGAATTGCCGAGGAGATGGTCAGGTCGGAGGGCATTGCTTGGATCACCTGAGACATGGCTTCTAGCTTAAGTCCATTGGCTCGGATGAGGGCTTTTTTCTGTTGCTTCAGGGCCCTGTCTCTCTTATACATTGGCCCAAACTTATTTCTTCCTCCACGCATTCGATCGGCTCTTACCGCTGTAGGGAAAAAAAGAAAGGCAGGAAGGGTATGTAAATGAAATGTGAATGAACTATTAGTATTCTCCAGCATCTCCAGATACTTGAAATGCTGGAAATTATAAGAAATGGTTTTCTCGTGGTTGTTTTCATAACAGCCCACAAAGATTCTGAGAAAGAAACAAAACAGAAACATGTCTTCTTTATTTACTTAGGGATTCTTCCAAGTGTATTTTGCTATCAGAACTATTTTGAACATGTAGGGGACATATTAACCCTTTTGTGAAATGAATGGTTTCACAATATTTGCTATATGTGGAGATATTTGGTGAGAAAGTGCATGCTTTCTTATTAAAAGCATCAGTTTCTTTTTTGGGGGGTGGGAAGGAAGGTTTGAGACAGACGGGCTATGTAGCCCAGACTGGCCTCTAAATCATGACAATCCTCCTGCCTCAGCCTCCTGCACTGGGATCACAGGGGGTGGGCACCACACCCAGCTCATAGGAGTGTAGTTTCTATAATGCCAGGTATGTGGTAATTCTTTATGAGAGTCAATCTGCTTAGGGTTTTTGTTTATTTTCAGCTTTGGGAGAGGAAAAAATAAACCAATCCACTTCTGGATTAAATTGTGAATCTTTTTTCCATAGGCTGTTTTCCTCCCATTGAGCCATTTTGGCTTCATTGGAGCTAAAGGGTTGGGTACATGTCTTTCCTGGAAAAGTCATTTTCACCTGGACTTAAGCTCCTACAAGATAACAATCAGTTAGTTATTGCTTTTAATTTCAGCGGAATTAGACATAATTAAAACCAATTCCTTCCCAAAGCTGTCCAGAGGTTCTTCTTCCACATGTACGGAGCCTGGGCCGTGCCTAAGGCAGTTAGCTGCTTCTCCAAGACCTTAGTGGCCAATAGCAATTAGAACACCGGACCTCTGACAGCTCACGACGTACTGAAAGGAGGTTAAGTGTCTGAGCTTTTCTTTGTAGGATTAGTGTCACATTAAAAATTTATTGTGGCTGAGTGTGGTGGCGCACGCCTGTAATCCCAGCACTCGGGAGGCTGAGGAAGGAGGATCTCTGTGAGTTCCTGGGCTCCATAGTGAGTTCCAGGTCAGTCTCAACTACATAGTGAGACCCTGTCTAAAAAATAACTTAAAAAAAAAACCCAAAACCAAAATAAAATTTATTGTGAATTCTAGGTATGTAGAATACTACATGGGATCAAAAAGAGTTTTTCACTTTGGTGACAATACACTGAATATTCAACTGTTTCATAACCGCTGTGAAGGAAGCAGGAATGTGCCCCATGAGTTACGGAGACACAAAGCATGATTTCAAGGTAAAGAAGTGCAACTTTTTTCCTTTGTTTAAAAGAAATCAAACGACATCATATGAAATCTCAGCATGTGCTTTTTCACATTTTGTCTTGAGTCTCATACTGCAGTAAGAATCTACCAAAACTTCCTGCTCTTCAGTAAAAAATAAAGTGACCGATGATAAGAAAATTAATAAACATCAGTTACTTCTTTTCTCAGCCTCTTCTTAAAAGCAATACAGTATTGACTTTAACAGTCCCCATGATAACCAAAGTGTCTTCTTCTGTATGGAAGGAATCTGCTAGCAATCCAGCAGATTTATTTGAATTTTTTTTCTTGTATCTATTGAGTATGAATTCTGAGTAACAAAAAAAGCTCAAAATAAAAATAGCCTGTGCCTCATTGATCAAATAAAATGCAGTCTGTATCTAGCACCATCAGAGAGATATATCCCTTGTTATTACTTTATTTGCAATATATTTAATCCGTGGAAAGCCAGTAGGTCAAAGGCTGAAAAACAGCAGCACACTGTAACAATCTACGAACTACAAATTATTTACAGCAGTCACATATTAACTTTACAGCCTACCAATCTGAACACGGTAGTATAAGTTTTGCTGGTTCGACAAAGTTTAGTGTATCTTTTGGAGTTTCCATCATTACCATTCTCTTGTTCTTGTCAAACCATCGTTCCTGATTTAATAGTTCTTTTTCATGTTTCTTGCTTCTTGATTATTTTATTTTGCAGATAGTCATTATTTTTCTTTAAAAAAGAAGCATGCATCCCTACACTACTAAAAGTTAAATTCTAAATGAGCAATTTGTTTTCATAACTAAAGACTAAATATTATCAAGAATCATGAAATTCATAACAATTACAACACATTTTAAAAGACTGAAATAAAAGTTCTGTTATGGCATCCTGATTTGAAAATGTAACAGGTGTCTTATTTTTCATGTTTTAACAAATTATTTTTGTGTTCAGTTGAATCACTTTAGTCTTGTCTAGGAACTTGATTGTTTTACTGATCAAATATTTCTGCTTCCCAAACTTACAAGAAGGGGCACTCTAATATTTAAATTTTTTCCCTACTGGATGTTACCATGTTTAAATGAGATTCAGACTATTCAGCAGACAAAACAAAAAACGATACAACATTATTGTCAGTAATGTTAAAACTTTAGGAAAATAATGTTACCATGTTATAAGCACAGTGCTGTTTTAAAGGTGTTGTCCTTGGAGATTTTTAACAGGCAGTAGTCTGTAGAAGAATCTTACCTTCTAGTTTCATTCCAACACTCAGACATTTTTGAAATCGACAGTAAGGACAACGTTTTCTCTGTGTTTTGTCAATTTGGCAATTCTGGTTTTCTATACATGTGTACCTTTTATTATTTTGGACTGTTCGCTTAAAAAATCCCTATAAGACAGAAAATAGTGAAACATATTACAAATCTAGCAGCAGTCTCTTCTATTGTTTCATTTTAAGGAAATCAGCAATAAATCTTTTCATTGTACTATTGGAACCCTTAAGTGCTTCTGTGGTTTATTTTACATTTCAGCAAGATCAACCGTCCAAAACAGTGCCAGGCCATAGTAGAAATGTTTCTGGTCTCAGTTATATTCCTGAAAAATTACATCAAATCTTGGGGAGATTTGGCTACACACCCCTTCATTCTAACAGTCAGAAAAAAATATACTCTGTATTGACCAGCGATTCTTTAACAAATCTGTTTTCCTATTAACCTTCATGTTCCAGACAGGAATTCTCATGGAAGTCTGCATTGTTTTTCAGTAGTCTGGTACAATTTCAGTGACAAACCATTGCAGAAATGCCAGTGGAAAAACTGAATAACAAAATGCTGCAGATCTTTGAGAAATGTCAACCCTGGATAGTTAAAAGTAAAAGGATTTAAGGGTAAAATGAGAAAATGCTCATAATTCCATTGGAATACATTCAAGTATGAGAACTGGGTTAAAAAAAAATGAAAGTAGTGGGGGAGAGAGTATCACAGAACTGAACTATCGCAGTTTGTGTGCTTTCCTTATATTCACTAAAAGGGATTAATCAAAAATGAAATTTGTAACTTTATAATAGAATGACAGCTTTACTAAAATAGTATTCTTATTTATATTGCTAGCCATAAAAGGAAACCATCTTACTTTGTTATAGAGAATAAAGAGGTTTACTGGCAATGATTTAATCAATTGCACTGAGTCTTAATACTTTAAAAACCAAAATGTTGAAAAATTAGACAACACTGAGTTAACTAGGACTAATACAAAGTTTGACACAAATCCTTAAAGTATTGCTGATACTCATAACAATAGAGTACATTTTGCATATTCAAATTCCTCGCATCTAAATATATCACATGATACCTTTAAAACTCAGAAATTAAAATCCTGTTTTCTTGATCATTATGACACAAATTTCAAAAATCTTAAAAGTTATTTCAGGGTGAAATCACATAGTTGGGAATTTAGGCTTTTATATCTGTGGATAAAAAATGCTTAAACTTGTAGTACAGAAAACACTCTGAAGTTAACACCTATTTGGAAAATACTCTGTCACGTTCCTTCTGAAGACCAACAGTGCTTTAAATATATATAACTCAAGCAAAATCAATATTTAGGACTGTTAGAAATGGAAACCTTTCTACAGAAATACCACTTTACTACAATAAAGAATTTTAAGGCCATGAGACTGGCGAAGTTTTCTAAACAGCATAAATTTCTTTGCCTTTTGACTCAATCAGACACATACTTTTAAGAATCATCTCCCTGAGACTAGCTCTCTCTCTCTCTTACTCTCGCTTTTTGAGTAAAAAAGAAACAGCTTCAATTAAGCTGTAAAAGATAATTCGATGGTTTCTGTTGGTCTGGAACATTGTATTTTTTTAGGTAGCAACATCTGCTCAGACCTTGCAGCTTTCACAGGTGAGGAGCCCATAATGGTATCCAGACACTTTATCGCCACACACGGGACAAAGCTCTTCAAGATCTTCATCATAGGAGTAATTCACCATTTTAAATTGAGACACTGAAACGACAAAGAGAGATGCATGCTGACGTCCAGTTAATTTACTACAATAGGTTTTAATCCTGCAAAGAAAAGCATTTTGGCGATTGGTGGGCAAATATCGCCAGGTAAATTACAACATAAAAGTAATTTTTACCCAGGTGGTACTAAAGAGAACTGTTTTTACACAGTGAAAGTAAAACCTCTTCGGGCATCAATGAGCATGCACTTCATATTTTTAAGTTTAAAAATAATTCCGACTTCTGTTGACATTTGGCACTGAGCACCACTGAATACAAGCCTCCTAACTCTGCAAAGCAACAGATCGGTAGAGAAGCAAGCGTGATCCGCGTAAGGCAGCAGACCTAGAATTTCCTTTAAGTTTCTGCAAAGTTCAGCTTCCAAATGTCACCTTTGCCCAAGGAGAGGACGGAGCACACACACTGCTCCTCTTCTATGGCTGTTCGCTGCCAGGACACCTGGCTGGTAAGGACAGCGACACCCATTTGCACTGCTGCTCCCTCCGCTGCGAAGGAACGAAGCCCCAGAAACCTGCTTCTCAGCACAGCCCAACTTTAACAACAGCCTGCGGCTCCCAGTGTTCAGATCTGTTAGATTAATCGAAACATTCAGTTCTGTATTGAGAGTACTCCTGTGCTAATTACCTTCACCTCCTCGCCTTTAGAAATGTCCTGTGAAAATACAAAGGAACCTTCAAGAAAAGAGAAAGGACCCCGGACGGCGGTTGGGAGGAGAGAGTGCAGCAGAGGAAAAGAAAGACCCGAAGGTTTGGTTCCTTCGGGGCAAACCCTGAAACCCCGCAGTGAGCCTCACGTTTCCGATCCCCACTGCAGGGTGTGAACTGTGAACCTCCTCTCCTCGAGGTCGCCCTGGTCTACAGAAACCCGGCTGCTGCTCACCGCGGTGCTCGGGACACTAACCCGCGAAGGCGTCCAAGCAGCCAGAAGATGAGCGAGAGCGGCAGGGCCCGGGGACCCAGCGGTACCTGAGCAGCGCCTCGGAGCCTGAGCGGACCGGGTCCCGAGCGCGG